TCTAACACATTATTGTGTTTTTTGTGAAAGTTTATAGTAAATCAAGAGTTAGCACACAGATTTTCCCATGACATTTGTTTCAAACCCCACAATGTGTCAGCTCTCTCTCAGTTCCCTCCTTGGGTTCTTCCATTTCTACTAGTCTGATATTCTTGTTTCCCCCAGTCTCCTCATCTTTGGTTTTAGACAAATGTTACTCTTTTGGTCTCGTATAATTGATTATTCTAAGGGGTACATTCTTCATGGGGGTGGTGCTTGTTTTGTAAACCCATCATTATTTCACCGAAAAGTGGCCTCCAGGAGGGTCTAAAGTGAGTTTCTCTTAATTGGGCACGCTTAATATCTAGTGGGCTCCTGGTGTGGCACTGTAGGATCAGCACTTGACTGCTAGCCACAAGTTGGTGGGAAGTTCAAACCTACCAACCAGTCCTCAGAAACCCTATTACAGGGTTGCTATTAATCAGAACTGACACAATGGCACTTAACAACAGCAATAATAATATATAGTAACTCTATCCTAAGGACTTCTGGTGTGGTGTTGCCGGTTAATGCTGTAAACTGCAACCTCTGTGTGGGCCGTTAAGGCCGGCAGTTCTAACTTACCAGCTGCTCCTTGGAAATGGTCGCTATGAGTCGGATCCCGACTCGATGTCACTTAGCAACAACAACATCCTGATATATTTATAAACACGCCTTTCAACACTTATGTTTAATGGAGTAGCATTTTATATTTTTGTTTTATACATTTATCAATGACTTTTTTGACTTGGACAGTTGATTTTGGTTCAAATGTTGGAAATAGACTAGTATCTCCACTTGTAATTTGTGAGTGTTTAAAAGGAAACCAAAGATAAATGAATAAACATGCATATTTTTGTTGTCTCTTAGACAGGAGAGAAGAGTAGAGATGATGCTTTGGAAGCCATAAAAGGAAACTTAGATGGGTTTTCCAGAGATGCTAAGATGCACCCTACTCCAGTATCACATCCCAAGAAACCAGGTAGTTTTAATTTTGAGAGACAATGGGTGATATGTAGTCCCTGAAATTGACCATTATATGTTTGTTAAGAATCAGACCACCACTCAGCTGTTGGTTTGTAGTATTGTGGTGGTTTGTGTGTTTCCATCAGTATTTCAAATACTACCAGGGTCACCCATGGTGGGCAGATTTCATGGAGCTTCCAAACTAAGGCGAACTAGGAAGAAGGACCCAGTCAGTAATCTACTTCTGAGAAAATTGGACAGTGGAAATCTTATAAATAGCAACAGAACATTGGGAAGATGGAAGAAAATCAAAATACAACTGGAGAAGAGCTGCCTCCTCAAAGTAAACTCAACCATAATGATATACAAGAACTTTGACAACCTTCATTTGCTGATATAGTACCACTCAAATTAGAAGCAACAGCTGTAAAAATCCACTAGTAATCAGAATGTAGACTGTGTGACATAGGAATCTAGGAAAATTAGAAGTACACAATGAAATGGAATGCTTGAAGATAGATATCTTAGTCATTAGTGAGCTGAAATGTACTGATATTGGCCATTTGAATTTGGACAGCCATATTACCTACTATGCCAGGAATGACAAATTGAAGAGCAACAACATCATATTCTCATTGTCAGAAAGAACAATTCAAGATCTTTACTGATAGGATAGTACAACACTGTTACTGATAGGATAATATCCATACACCTACAAAGAAGACTGTTGATAACAAACTACTGTTCAAATTTATGCACCAACCACTAATGCCAGAGATAAAGAAACTGAAGATTTTTAACCAGTTTCTGCAGTGTGAGGTTGATCCAACATGCAGTCAAGATGCACTGATAATTACTGGTGATTGGAATGCAAAAGTTGAAAACAAAGAGAATAGAACGGTAGTTGTAAAATATGCCCTTGCTGATAGAAATGATGCCAGAAATCACATGTAGAATTAAGGAAGAGCAGTAATTGGAAGCAGTCACTCCTTTTGGAGGACAAACTACCTGGAAATTTGGAGAACAGCTATCTGGTCAACCAGCTGAAAGAGATCCATATTTGTGCCCATCCCTAAGAAAGGTAATCCGACAGAATGTGGATATTGTCAAGCAATATCTTTTTTTGTTGTTGTTTTTTTTTTTTTCTTAAATGTTTTATTGTGAATTATGTGATAGTTTACATGGGAGAACATTAGTTTTACATTCATTCTATCGTATATCATCTCATTGCCATGGTTACAGTCCCCTCCATGCATCATCAACCAACCAAAGGGTATACCCTGCAAGCCTGCCCCCCACAGCCCCCAGGTCTTCAGCACACAGTCCCTCTCCCTCTCTGGATCTACAGTCCGCAGCTGCTCCATTGCTCCACGTCATCGTCTCTGTCCATCTTAGGCATCACTGCTTCTCTGGGTAGGGTCCTGCTCTCCGCTCTTCTCCATTGATGGTCCTAGGGACCTCCGCTCCTAGACTGGAAAGTTAATCACTCCCCTCCTAAGCAATATCTTTAATATCACACTGAAGTAAAGTTTTTCTGAAGATAATTTTTAAATGGTTGCAGCTGTACATCTACAGGGACCTGCCAGAAATTCAAGAAACGAGGAGTATCATTGGCGATGTCAGATGGATCTTGATTGAAAGCAGACAATACAGAAAGGTGTTTATGTGTGTTTTATTGGCTATGCAAAGGCATTCAGCTGTGTGGGTCATAAAAAACTATGGATAACATTGCAAAGAATGGGAATTCCAGAACACTTAACTATGCTCATATAGAACCTCTATATAGATCAAGAGGCAGTTTGTTTGAAAAGAACAAGGAGATACTGAGAATATAAAATTGGGAAAGTTGTATATCAGAGTTTATTCTTTGACTATACTTATTAATCTATATGCTTAGAAAAGAATCTGAGACACTGGACTATGAAGAAGAATGCAACATCAGGTTTGGAAGAAGATTTATTAACAACCTGCGATACGCAGATGACACAGTCTTACTTGCTGAAAGCAAAGAGTGCTCGAAGCACTTGCTGATAAAAATCAAAGACTATGCCCTTCAGTGTGGATTACAGCTCAGTGTAAAGAAAACAAAAATTCTCACAACTGAACCAGTAAACATTATGATAAATGGAGAAAAGATTGAAGTTGTCAAGAATTTCATGTTACTTGCATCCACAATCATTGCCGTGGAAGCATCAGTCAAGAAATTAAATGAAAAAAAAAAGAAATTAAATGATGTAGTACTTTGGACAAAAATGCTGCAAAAGATCTTTTTAAAATATTATTGAGCAAAGATGCTGCTTAAGGACTATGGTGTGCCTAACTCAAGCTATAGTATTTTCAGTCGTGTCATATGCATGTGAAAACTGGATATTGAATAAAGAAGACCAAAAAAAGAATGCCTTTGAATTATGGTATTGATGAAGAATGTTGAATGTACCAGGGACTTGCCAGGGAACAAACAATTCTGTCTTGGTAAAGAGGTACAGCCAGGGTGCTCCTTAGAAGTAAGGCTGGCTAGACTTAGTCTCACAGACTTTAAATGTGTTATCAGAAGGGACCAGTCCCTGGAGAAAGGACATCATACACAATCAAATAGCAGGTCGGCGAAAAAGAGGAAGACACACAGCAAGTAGCACTGACAGTGACTGCAACAGTGGGCGCAAACAGCAGTTGTGAGGATGGTACAGGACTGAGTGGCATTTCATTCTGTTGTGCATGATGGATTTGCTATGAATCAGAGCCAACTTGATGGCACCTCACAACAGTGTAGGGTCGCGATAAGTTGGAACCAACTCAACACCAGAAAAACAACAGAGGAAAATTTAAAGGTACCTTTGATGGCAAAAGGCTGGAAACCCCCTTCATATATTATAGGCCTAAGTTTAAACCCTAATTGAAAAGATACTGGTAATTCCTGGGCTTCAGAAAAAAAATTTTTTTGACTCAGCATGAAGTGGTTAACTAGAAACTGAACTCAGAAAATAATTTGAACAACAAAATGCCAATTTATCAATTAATCATGAGGAGTACTCACTGTTAAACTACAACTGGTTGTCCAAAAAGGGCACTCTTTATGGACTGAGGAACCCCTGAGTTATGCAAACAATAAGCGTTTGTCTAACCAGTTTGGGGAGAAAGATGAGGCTTTCTGCTACTGTAAAGATTTGCAGCCTCAGAAACCCCGTGTAGGGTCACTATGAGTCAGAACCAACTCCACGGTACTTAACAACAACAACAACCAGTTTGAAAGAAACTCTGGTAGCATAGTGGTTACGAATCGGCCTACAAACCTTAAGGTCAGCAGTTTGAAACTACCAGCTGTTCCAC